ACTCGGGACTTGCCAAGCAGGTTCCAGAATCTTCTCATTCCTCGGTGTTACCAACACTATCGGGACATCCTATATCCGCTCGGCAGTATGCAGACGCCCGACAGTGACAACTTTCCAATACAGAGCATTGGTGTGACCCGAGGTTACAGGTTACTCTAAGCCCAACTTAATGAAGATCTGTTACCGTAACGCAAGCCTATTTTTCAAACTTTCGTCATCCGTGAGATTTGAACCCTAGACCTGCTACTTGGAGAGAGTAACGACTTGACCACTTCACTAAACCACCATACCTCTTTTTAATTCAATATTTCTCCTGTCACATCGACAATTCTTTAAATAATAAAGTTAAAAAAATATATTTTAATTATTGTTCTTTATTAAATAATCTGTAATTTTAATTTTACATTTATTAAAACTAGAATTATTATTAATACATTCTTTTAAAGATCCCTTTTTGGCTAACTTATTAGCTTGTTTATTACCAAAAATTCTACTATGTTCCTTCACATATTTAAAATAGTTTTTCCATCTTGATTTCTAATTAAGTTATTTGTTTGATTTATTAAAATATATTATACAATATTTAAATATTGTAATCTATTTTATTATTATAATTATATATTACTATAATTAATTAAATATTTTGTTTATTGTTTTATTAAAATATTTGTTTAATAAATATTTTTTTATATATAATAATCTATTATAATTATTTATATTATATCAGGTGATTTGATTTGTTTAGATTTAATCAAAAAATCATCTTTTTTTTAATAATAAACACAACAAATGCCCACTTTTTTTTAAAAAAAAAACAAAACTTTTTCTTTTTTTTTTAACAAACAAACGAAACTTTTAAGTGTTAGTATTTTTTCTTTTTATTATTTATTAATTATATATATGATTAGAATAATAGCGCTTGTTAGAAACACGTCACTTCAATCACTTTAATTATAGAAGTTATCAGTTTTCTTTTTTTATTATCAACTATTAACTATCTATGATTATTTTGATTATCAATATTTATTTTTAACATTTTTTTTCTTTTGCCGGCTTTGTTTTTTTTTATGTTTTTAACTATGATATATGTTATATGGTTTGTTTTTTTTATTTTTAAATAAAAAAACTAATATTATCTGTGTTTTATAGATGTCTTTACAAGAAAGTATCAATGAAGTTATTGAAAAAAGTCATGAGTTACAAGGTTCTTTACTTGCTATACGAAAAGAAGTAACTGAGTTTTAGCCTAAATGTGAATCATGTGATAATCTTAAAGCTTAGTTTGAAAAAATTAAATCTGCGGTTAAAATCAAAAAAAATTAAAATTTATATGATGCTGTTATGCCTATGAAAAAAGAAGGTGAAGAGTTCAAAAATAAATATTATAAGTTAAATACTAAGTATAATAGAATAGTTGAGCAGTTTGGAGAAATTACAGATTAATAATCTGTTTTTTTTTTTTTTTTGTTTTTATTGTTTTTTTTTATTTTTTTTTGTTGTTTTTTTTATTTGTTTATTTTTTTTTTGTTTTTTTTTAAATATATATATATATTTTATAAAAATAGTTTTTTTTGATAATTATATTATAAATAAATAAAATTTAAAAATATAAAGTAAAAAAAAAAATTATTCGTTTAATACTAAATTACAAATAATTTTGTTAATCTTAATTAACAATTGCTCTTTATCTTTCTTAGATAAATCAATTTCTTCTAGTATTTGTTTCTTTAATTCTTAGTATTTGATAAATTATCAATCATATCAATAAGTAATAAAAAATTTAAAAAAGTAAATCTGTGTTGCCTCTTAATATCGAGATCCTTTTTTAAAAATTCTTCTAAATTAGAATTACCAATCTGTTTTTTAACTTAACCAAAAATTGATAGTTTAAGATTATTTTCTCAAGATATATAATAAATTAATTTGTATAAAGTTTGATAATTAATCGAATAAATAGATGCAAGTTCAATTCCAAAATTTTGCAATTTTTGACAACAATTTGTTTTTTCTTCAATTTCTTTAGAGCAATTACATATTTTCTTTGAAAATAAAGGTTGTAAAAATATAAAAATAATAATAATAATTGAAAACAAAGTTTTTTTCTTCATGTTTCTTTTAAAAAAATATTTTGTAAATTTACTAATAAATTAAGAAAATACTATGATATTTATAAAAAAATAAAAAAAATAATTCAAAATTAAGAATTGTGTTTAAATTGTTTATATTATTTTTAATCAATATTTGGTTTCATTTTAAAATAGATACTCGCTTTTCTAATTCAGAAATTTGTGATTCCTGATTAATTACTGTTGTTTTCAAGTTTTTTATTAATAATAACGATCTTTCTGAATGATATTTTATATAATCAATTTCTTTATAATTTTTTTATAATAATATTTGCAAATATTTAGGTTTTTAAGTAATTGTTTATAGCGAATTTGATGTTTTCTACAATGCTCACATCTGGATTTTGGTGTTGAAGTTTTTTTATTTTTTTCTGCAGGTATAATTAAAAAATTTTATTTGAAAATAAGAGAATTTATATGATATTTATATAATTTAAGAAGTAATTTATTGTTTTATAATTTTAACAGAATTACAGCAAGTATAGTTAATTAAAGTATAATTTTGATCAAGATTCTTATAAGATAAAAGTTGATTTATATCAAAAACATCAAAGGTTTTTTGTATTTTATCATATGTTATAATAAAATTATTATGCTTTTGAAATCTATTTGTTATTGGGTTTTGCTTCAAATAAAAATCAAAAAATTTTTCAATTGGTGTAATATATTGAATTGGTATACGAAATTGTAAAGACATTTTAATAAAATATTTATTTAAATAAAAAAACAGACAATATTTATATATTTTTATACAAAAACACATAATTAAAAAAAAAATAAATTATAATTTTTTAAAGCTACGAAATAATTCTAAAAATAAAGAATTATTTTTGTTTGTTCTATAAAATTTTTCTGATATAGTTTTTTCACTAATATCTAAATTTACATCTTCATTATAGTTGAAAGTATTAATTTCTAAATTATTAAATTCTGTTTTATCAAGTGATTCCTGATAATTTTTTAAATTTTTTGTTGTTGTTGGTTAATAATATCTTGTTAAATCACAATTTGTTCTTGATTAATATTATTATTTTCTTGTTTATTTTCTACAAACTTTCCTTTTTTTTTCGAGTATAACTTGAATCATCTGAATTTAAATCTGAATCATAATTTGATTCATCAATTGAAATTTTTCTTTTAGTTGATTCTATATATAGATTATTATTATATTTATTAAATAATTTTTTTTTTTTTTGTTTTCATTATTATTTTCTAAACTTTCATTTGATAATTTTCTTTTTTGAAAGTTACTAGATTCTTCTTGTGGATCTTGACAATTTTAGATTTTTCTTCTTTGTTTTCTTGATGATACTATAACACGTTCTCCTGGTTCTGATTTAGGAATATTTATAATTACTCTATCAGTATTTCTTCTATTATAGAATATTCATTAATATTATTATTTCAAAATTGTCTCCAGTAATAATATCCTGCATTATTGTCTTGGCATATTTCACTGTCGATTCCTAAGTCTAATGTAACTTTTTCAACTTGTTCGAGTGTTGTTCTTTTAGCAAATTTAATATCAAATATTCTATTATTAAAATCTTGTTTGTTTCTTTTTTCAAATTTGCGTGTAATATTTCCTTTATCATTTTCTCTAATTGAATTACCTTTGCATTTAATGATATAATTAATTCTACTTTTAAATGCTTTAATATCAATTGAAGAATTACTATTTTATAATCTTTTATAAAGATTTTCTACAGAACCATTCGCAATTATACAAATATACATTGCAATGATATTTACTTTTTCATATTTTTTATTCATTTGACAATAATTTTTGTCAGTTAATCTTAATAAATTCGTCTAAGAATATGAACCATAGAAGTCATCTAATAATATTGCTATATCTCGATGATAATTAAATTTTTTATCATTATACTTTTCCCACCATTCTATATCATCTTTTTTATATATTCCAGGAAACAAATCCTTACAAAGTTTACTTTTTCCAGTTCCAATATCACCATAAATATAAAAAATAACAGGTTTTCAGTAGCGATCAACCTCTTTTAATAGATTAATATTTAGTGTTTTTACAGGCTTAGCAATTCGTTCTAATCTTTGCGGTAATTGTGCCCAACTTCTACACTTCTTAGCATATTTAACAAGTACTTTATCAATATCTTCTCCATTCATTACATCTTTAACTGCTATATTAATATATATATCTTCATTATCATTATTATTATTTTCTTCTTGGTTTTTAAATTTAGATTCATTATAATTAAACGTAAATGGTCCTGCAATTGAAAAATTTTCACTTATGCGTGCAAAAGTTCTTTCACAATCTTTATTACAAAATTTACAAAATTTAGATAAATCATTAAAATCACATTTGCATTTTTCAGCTTTTTTAGGATTTAGATTATGAGCTGGGTTTTTACAACGATTGAAACACTTTCCACAATAAGCTAAACATTCTTTGTCAGTCCCATTTGCAAATTCCACATGAATATTTGCTTTAAAAATCTCTTTAATTCCTGAATCTTTGTTTGTTTTAGAATTAAAATTTTCAAGCCATATTTGTCCACTATTATAATCTTTACGAACTTTTGCAAACCCTTGAGCATGATATTTTCCAACTTTATCAGAGTTATGATTAGGTTCAAATTGAAATTTTAAAATAGAAAAAGAATATTTTTTTTTATTAAAAAGTTGTGTAATATGTTCTTTTAAAATATCAAGTTTTTTATATAAAGTAAAATTAAATTTTCTAAATCGAGTATTTGAATTGATATTAGATATTTTTAAATTACATAATAAAAAATTTACCAGGTACTAAAAGTACTTAGTAGAAATAAATAAATTATTAATTTAAAAAAAAATCATCAAACTGAAAACCGTATTTTACATAAAATTTTATTAAGATAATCGCCAAAATGTTACTAACAAAGGTTGTAGATTTCGCAAAAAAATGCTAGTTTCATAAGACCACTTTTATTATTTTACTAATAAAATTTTTCTCTAGAGCTCAAAAACGTATCAAAACATATGTAAAAAAGTGATCTGCAAAAGCATATAGACGTTTTCATAATGAAAATGTAATTTACGTAAAATTTATTAAGCCAATTAACATAAAGTTACTAACAAAAGTTGTAGAAATCATAAAAAAATGCTAGTTACATAGAACAACTTTTATTATTTTATTAATAAAATTTTTCTCTAAAGCTCAAAAATGTATCAAAACGTATGTAAAAAAGTGATCTGCAAAGGTATATAGATATTTTCATAATGAAAAAATTTAAGATTTCTGCCAATATTTGTTCAAACTCCACCAAACTTTACAAGAAAAATTCTACATATTGTCTTAACTTATGTGTGAAATTTGAGCATACATTATTATGTGGGTTCTTAAAATATGGGGTTAAAGGAAGAATTTTTAGGCATTTTCATCAAAAATTTTCTTATCTACAAAAGATTATAAAAAAATCATCATTTCATCAATATCAATGCTAGAAAGCTGAAATTTAACCACAAATAGATGAATATCATACCTAATAGCTGTATTATGAATATACAAGAGGTTTCATTTCACCAAATACCTTCCAGAATTGAATTTCTGTAAAAGAAAATTAAAGAAAAATGTAAATTTCTATATTTTACAAAAAACGAAATATCTCCATGAGTTTTAATTAGTTTTGCTTCAAATATGAGATTCAAGTAGCCCACGATTCACTCTAAAGGCGGTATTAGAAACGTCTTTGTGGTTATATAGGCATAATTTCAAGAAAAGCATTGCCGAAAATTGGGTATTCTCTAAAACACATAGAAAAGAAGCAAAAATACATTATAAATTATTTTTTATATAAATAGGATGATATATAGAATAATGGGAAAATTGGGTACGTATTTATTAAATATCACTTAAAATTAATCACATCGTACAAAA